GAGGTATGGCTTTGGTGTTCTTTTGATGCCATTAAAATAACAGAGACGGAGTAGTAATTCAGTGTAAATTACACACAATTCATCAAGCCTTGGATGTGCATGGTTCTATTCACAGGTCATGTTTTCTGGGGCCTGCAATGACTGAATTTGCAGTTGTCCTCAAGTAATACACTGCAGTAGGGGCAGAGCTCTAGAATGAAATTGTTGCTGCTGACAACCTGGCATCCCTGCACTATCTTTGAAGATTTTATTTCAACCTAGAAATAAAATACTTCTATTTCAGCCCAGATCCCGGTCCAGTCCAGTTGGATACCCATTAAACAGGTCAGTGCGGGTCAGAGGCATTCCAAGAGCACGTTTCTTTCTTGGGTTTTGTTGTAAGTGAATCCAGTGAGAAAAATGCACTAAAAAGCCAGATCCTGGTAAATGGTCTGCCAGCTTGAAAAACATAGAAATGCTCATAGTTAAGTATTAAGGTAACTAACTGGAAATGTTTTTCTGTATGTACTTGGTACAGTGTTCCTGCTGGTTTTCATTTTGAAAGTGTTAATTCACAGAACACTTACGATCAGTCAGTACATGTAATAATCTTGAAACAATTATTCTAGGTTTTGCTCCCCTCATTTTCCAGGTGCAGAAGTCTTTTTGGTATCATATCCAAGAGAGCCATCACTACGAGTATTATGGTTGCATAGCGACCTGAACGTGATGACTGCTTTAAAGCAGTCCTTAGCTGTGTATTTCTTTTCCAACAGGGGCCACACAGTTTCCTATAAAGCTCTTGAAGAAAAACATATGCAGTGTTTTATGACTAAATAAGAGGTTTCTTTATTCAAACATATTATTTCTGGACACTATCACCAGATTACTGCTCCAGGCCATCTTAAAGGTACCCAGTATTCCAGCATTATAATTTCTCTGCAACAGAACTCCAAACCCATCTTGTCTCTCCCCCTGCTTGCATTATCAGCTGAAAGCACAACAGAAATGTTTACGTATGAAGGCAGAAATGACTAAGAATACTACTAGTAATCCAACTGTAATTTCCCAAAGCATTAGTTTTTACACCTAGTCAGCTACAGTGAGTCTTCACTACAGAATAAACTTAAATGTGGACATACACAACATACAAGTTATATATTCCCAGTTTTGTTTATTTTCATGGAATGCTAATTTAGTTACAATATGGCAGTTCAGAACTACTGAAATGTGACATAAATTCTTCTCCAATGCTGCAAAACAGTCTTGATTTATATATATTGTTTTAAAACAATCTTATTTTACATAGTTGAGGTCTCTGGTGGTTTTTAAGCTCTGATGCTTAAGCACACAGCAAGCTACAAACCTTAGGTTTTATATTATACATATATTCTATGTATCCAGACAACTGCTGTAAGTTATCTATAATTTAATATTTATAAAAAGTGCATATACTGGTACATATGCACATCTAGAAACACACTTTTACTACTGCCTCCCTTTTATAAAAAGCTGCATAACATACAGCGATGTTATTCTCATTCACTGCTATTAAAGTCCCTTACTATCTTTATTACACCATTTAAACTATTCAATTACCTCAAATTGAATGTAGGTATCCTCTATGTATGTTTTCTCCTAAAGAAAAAAAGTCTTCCCTATTCCTTTAAGAAGCTTTAAATCATGCATCAGTTTAGTAAACAGTCACTTTAGCATGGATTTCAGAATCCTAGACAGTGTAAAATTTACTTCTGGAAAACGTCTATCTGTATATTTCATTTCTTCTTTTAGTTAAAAAAAATATATAGGATTGAAACATACTGAATACATGCATCTCTCAAAGTGGCTATACTCTAGCCTTATAGATAAATTAAAAAAAGTACACCCCTGCTAATAGGATGCAAACATGGCCTCAAATAGGCCATTACCTGTATTTAATATAGCTCATTACATTAAAAAGTTCAAGTCAGCTGTTCTCTCGAGATGGTGTCAAAAGACTGAAGAGCATAAGATATTTATACTCAATATACAAAGGCGGGTGCACACACCTAGTGCCAGATGATTATTCAATACTTTCAAGGCTTCTAGGCTTTGCCTCTGGTGATACAAGTCCTGAAATGATCTGAAAAGTTTGAAGTTGAAAACTGTTCCTTAATACATCATAAAGCAAGTTGTGTTTAAAAGAAAAATATACACTGAACAACCTGAAGTACTCACTGAAACAACTGTACAAAATTATTATAGATACAGAAAGAAATAATGGTGGACTTAAATTCAAACAGAAGGAACACTTGTTAACATATGTATAAACTTGCTTTGATTTATTCTTCTACCAAGAAAGAATTTGTAGCTGTTCAGAACAAGTAAAATTCAAACCACCTCACGATGTTTACATTTACAGTTTTTATACAGTGCAAATGTTTAAGACAGAGTAACTCCCCAGTGAAACAGGTGACACTACTCAGTGCCACTCTTTTGAAGATTCTTCTTTCAGTAAGTCTATTTACACATTAAGCTAAAGGTTCACTATATATGCTTTGAAGTTTGCTGAATATCAGCAGGAGAATGTGAACTAGCAGCAGTTGAATTATGAATATATGATCGTTACTTTAATGAATGCATAAAGTTTTCAAGACTGTATTCAGTGTCATACTGTTCTTGATCCCATAGTTCTCCAAGGTTTTCAAGGACTGATTTCATTGATGCTTTCCCAGAAGAGGTAGAGGTATCTGCTTTTTCAGTTTTTTCATCCTTCACAAAAAAAAAAAAAAAAAGAAGAAAGTCAATTAAAACACCAAATAATATTTTCAGGAATATGCAAAATTCTTCAAAATCTTACAGTTCTTTCGGGGAAACAGCACATCCTCCTGTTTTTCGGAGAGCTATCTAATATCCATCATTCCAACCTCTAGTGTCCATGTGATCAAATTTTACATATCAAAGCAAAGCTTTTCCCTAAGCTTACTCTATTTTCGGTAGGTATTTGTAAAACGGCTTTTTACCTTGTCAAGAGTGAACAGATCAAGAAGCTGTTCTGTTCCCATGCTCTGCAAGCTTGTGTTTTCTTGGCTGATCACCGTATTTGCAATATTCATTTTGAACTTCTGAAGACCCATGATCTTTTCCTCCAGAGTTCCCCTGGTTATCAGGCGATATACATTAACAACACGTTTCTGAAAGGAAAAAAAAAAGCACACACAAAAGAAATGAAAAATATAAAAATATCTTAGGTATTCAGGTATTCAAGACAGCATAACTTTTTAGTATTCATCACGGAGAGTCTGGAAGCAGTTTGGCTTGGAGTTACCCGTCAGTAATTTTACTCAGTAAGTCTGACTGGTGTCAGATTAAAAGAATGAGACTATGCCAGCATACAGTAGAGGCACCTGCAATTGCATCTGTACTCAGGAAGTTAAGAATTCATTGTTTTTTACAGCTGTAGAGGGAGACTAACAGCAGTCACTCTTTCCCTGTCCAGGCATCAGAGAAGGACAACCCTGTGCGGGCTTTCCTTCAAGTTTCTTGTCTCAGTTGAGTACCTTCCTCCCCTGAAGGGTGATTCTTCCCTGGCCCCTCCTCAGCAACTCAGACAGTACAGAATTAGAAGGCATACCAAGTTCAGGATAGGATAAGAAAGTATACACTTCATCCGGCATACTTGCAAGGAAGCAGTACGAATGGAAGCTTTTCAGACATCAGTTTTCAGATGTTACAACCTTATCCCAATTCAAAAAAAAACAGGAGTTCAGCAAGAGAAGAAACTTATGGGAAATTAAAGAGTTGTTCACCTGCCCAATGCGATGTGCCCGATCCATGGCTTGCAGGTCTCTCATCGGGTTCCAGTCATGTTCCACAAATACTACTGTATCGGCCCCCGTTAAATTAAGTCCCAGTCCACCAACATGAGTTGTGAGCAAAAGAACATCTATAGATGGGTCATTATTAAACCTGCACACATAAAAAAAGTTAAGTATGGTAAATTTTATATAAATGATGAACTCATGAACCTCAACTGCTCTGAGGCAGACCAAAGAACAATTTCATACCATATAAATAATATAGCTCACTACAGTTCCTCGTATTGCTTGTGAAGGGATATGCTTACCGGGAAACAATGGAATGCCTCTGACCAGCAGGAATGCTGCCATCTAGTCGTAAATAAGTAACTGAAGGTAACTGAGGTCGAAGAAGGTCGTGCTCCACTATATCCAGCATGCTTTTAAGTTGACAGAAGATAAGTACTCTGTGCTGGGCCACAACGGCTTCTGTACCGCTTTCTGAAGATCCACTATTCCCCAAACCACAATCTAGCAGCAGCTTAAAGTAAAAGAGCATTAAAGCATATCATCAGAATGACAGTAGATCTCATGTAAACATTGACATTGATGAACTGTTAAAAGTAGAAATAAGAGAAACAAACTTTAGAGGAAGTCTGGGGCAGTCATTTAAATGATAATGCAAAGTTTGGCTTTACTGTCAAAGTGAAAAACTAAGAGTCAACAGAATAGTCACTTTCTTCATTTTGTTTTACTTAAAACAGAATTTAAGTATGTACTGCAATCTAACATTTTTGAGCTAACAGTCTCCCATATAATAAATGTTTTTCTGTAATAAGGGGGGTAGGAGTAAGAAACAGAATAAAAGTAAGGTTTTCGGCAAAGCAGCAAAAATTCTGTAAACATCATGAAGCAAGCTCGTGCTTCCCCCTCCCCCTCGAATTAAACAGGAAAAATAGGACATATGTCTAAAAAACCCTTGTACTCTATTTCATCTGATACTTAACTGAAGCTTTAAGATAATTTTCATATTGATGAAGTCTTAAGCTTTTTAAATTTAACATCAGTAAAGACACATTTAGGAAATTAAGGCACAATATGCATATCTACTTACTTGTTTTAAAGCAGACAGCTTAGGTGCATGTTGGATGTCTCGAAGGGATGAACTATGTGTTGCGAGTTGCTCTGTAATTCTTTTATATTCTGGGTGTTGGGTTGTTAACACTAATGCTGGGTGGTTGCATAGCTTCCTTAAGTACTGCAGTGCCTTGAATTGTTTAGGAAATGGAAGTTCAAGGAAATAGTAATAATGTAGTTACAGAAAAATGATGAACAAAACTGATTATAAAATATAGGGGCCACTCAGCTACATTCCACAATTTGGACTTCAGGATATATTTTCATTACAGTAACATTACACATTTATGTAAACTAGACCAGTATTTCGAACTGTATCAAATAACTATTAAGTGTGTAACGATCTTGGTTCCTGTTGCAGGAAAAGTATGCATACTACCATTTCCCACACCTTCATGTTGAGTGTGGGATACAGTAGCTGGGTTTGGGAGCTGTGCAGAGGCTTTGAGAATGATTGTTTCCAAGTAGCCAAGACTTAACCTGCAATTCTGTCAGATCATGAACCTTCATAAATTCAGATCTAACTTTAAGTTAACTTATTTTGTTCATGGTTTAGTATCTTAATTTTGTACTGTAACAACTAGTAAAACCAAAATTAGTTCTCTCTCTTTGAGGTTTTGCATTTCTGGTAATCAGTTATTAATCAAAAGTAGTATCCAAGATCCATAAACAGCTGAACACTAGTTAAAACACAACATATTAAGAAGTAAGACAGTTTTATATTACTTAAACCCCAAGAACTTAATTAAATCAAAATAGCTGTACATCACTTTCAGGCAGTATGATCCAAACCCTAAGTATTTTACTTGGATCATATGGCCGTAAATGTACAAGTTAGCTACAAGTAGGTAGTAAAAATTAAAAAGACATCTGTACCTGAAACACATGACCTGTAGCTTTAAGCTTTGGTTTTTCAGTTTCTTCATTTAGTGAAATTGAAGAAACTGTTTCATCAATATCGCATTTGGCACGAGACTTGGCAAAATCTTCATAAAGCTGAACCTGTACAGCAGACAAGAGAATGAGTATGTTTTCCCAGACAGAAATAAGACAAACAGCCATTTTTTTTATTTTAGTTCCAAGTTTAAAGTTCTGAATTACCATAATCAAGAAAACCATACACAAAGCACATGATCAATATAACAGTGCAATCTCTTGCAATTTTCTTTCAGCTTGGAAAGATATTATTATAGAACAATGCCAGAAATTAAGCTAAAGAAATCCTCTATTGTAACTGGACTGATACTAGTTTTAACACACATACTACAAAAAAACCTTTTAGTCCCATGGTCCCAAAGAATGTCAGAGGTGACATGAGACTGACCCAGGAATACAGAAGTGGTTTCTTTGTGGTCTTTACTGTGCTGAAAACACTAAGCTTCCAGAAACTTTTTAAGCATACCTGCAGAGGACTGAGAATACAGTAATAATCTTGAATAATTTTGGGTGGAAGATCCTGCAGTACATCCTCCTTCATCCTCCTTAGGAGGAATGGCAGAACCTGGCGGTGCAGTGCTTCCATTGCAAGAACCCCTGGAGGAGACAACGGGAGCCACATTTTAGGGAAAAAAAAATTGAAATGTCCGCCTCTCACCTCCTGTTCTTACACTGGAACTGATCACACTTTCTCTTTTCATGTGAAACTCTCATTTAAAGGAAGAAAACAAGAAAACAAAAATTTAACATTTGATCCTTACCAGCCTCTTGTTCTCGACTGGAGCTTCGGGCATCTCTACTTGCCAGTATTGGTTTGCCATAACGAGCTGCAAATTGGCGTTCAGTACCCAAAAATCCCGGCATGAGGAAGTCAAACAATGACCACAACTCTAAGACGTTGTTCTGGCATAGGCAAAACATTTTTGAATTATTTCCAGAAGTAACGAGTTGTTACAAGTTATCACAAACATTTCCATGCCTATTTAACACTGCCTATAAAACTACAAATGGAACACTTCTATGTACTTTTGAGCTCTTAGAAATTGGTGGCTTTTTCATCAAACTAAGTTACAGAAGACCTGCACCTATACTTTGGCACATAAGACTTTTTACTGTGCCTTATGTATTAAGCCACACTCAACAACAAACCCCAGGAGATACAAGTGGCCTCAGACAGATACTCCATGAACAAGGCATTAGGAGAAAGCCCAAAGTCTGGGGTTCCCTCCCTGCCTGCTGCTTATAGAACAAGTGGTAGAGAAAGTCTTGTTGCCAGCTTTTGAGCTCCTATTAGTACCATGGATCTTGCACCTATTCCCTGATACATGGGTATACTAGGAAAGGAAAAAGATGCAGTTTCAAGTATTTAGCAGTGAAAGGCTTTTCTTTTTTTTAATAAAATGTATATACTTCAAAGAAGATGACTAATAAAAAGCACAATCAGACTGCGAAATATATCTGTTTCACTTGTTTTCACCCCACTCACCCAACTCCTTAGGAAAAGAGAAGCAGTTACCTGGATTGGTGTCCCAGAAAGAATAATCCTGTAATTGGCAGTCAGCTGTTTTACTGCTTTTGACAGTTTAGTTTTTCCATTTTTAATTACATGGCCTTCATCAAGAATGCAGTAATTAAACTTAATATTTCTGGAAAAGAAGAATACAGGCTTAAGTACCATTTAAAATTCTAAGCTATTAAAAACCTCAGAAAACAAACCAACTCTTACCTGAAGAAATCAATGTCATTTCTTACAACATCGTATGAAGCCACTATGAGATTGTGTCTTTTCACCTGGTGCTGTAATCTTAAGAAAAAATAAAATAGAGGAGATAACTAAAACATCCCTTACAGATGTTATTATTTCAGATTTTAAAGGTACCATCGCAAGCTTCACCATGCTACAAACTATGCTTCAGTAGCAGCAGTAAATTGCAAAATTGTGTTGTATTTTACTCTACCCAAGTCATAAATGCAAAATACACTACCTTGCTCTCTCAGTAGGAGGTCCTGTATAATGCAAAGGATTAAGATATTCTTTTGAGCAAAATTTGCCCACTTCATCCACCCAGTGTCCTGTGAGTGTAGGAGGGCACACCACCAAAGAGGGAAGAGGGACACTGTCCACCAGCTTTGTTCTTGCATATTCCTGAGCCCTTAAAGAATGTAAAAACAAGTCTGAAAAAAACCTGTTTTTCATAGAGTATCTTTTAAGATAGAAGCTACTTGTTTACACTTACCTGAGGCAATGATCACCTGCAAGAATGCAAATGGACTGTAAAGTTTTCCCTAAGCCCATGTCATCACAAAGAATTCCATGAAGTTTGTATTTATTGAGAAATGCCAGCCAGTTCACTCCATCCTGAAAATGGAAAACAGAAAGAGCACTTCAGAAGACCTAGCTTTTGGCTAGTTCATCTTCAGTTCAAACAGCTGTATGTTCTATCATACACCAGTGCCAAACTAGAAGCTTGTTTCCCACCATAAATGCATCCATTACAGCCCCCTCACTCAAAGTAGAGGGGAATAAAGGGAGAAACAGAAGTGGCTGAACAGCACAAGGGGACCTGGCTTTGCAGTGGAGAGCAGCTACAATCAGTCTAAGCAAGGCAGCCCATTGGCCATGCCCTGAGAAAGATGAGAGAGGGGAAAAAAACTACATCATGAAAAAAAAAGCTGTATAAATGGTACACATTATTTGATTTGCTCTTCCTTACCCAAGAACACTAGATACATACTGCACAGCTAAAAACAAAACAATCCCCCCCACCACAACAACAGCACCCAAACAACTCCTACCCTTCCATAAAATCATATTGGACTGGAAAATATTGCTTTTTTAAAATAAAAGTATAAGTTATTACCTGCTGATATTTTCTGAGCTCTGCTTTGATTGGTACTGGAATTTTATAGTTTTCCAGTTTTTTTCCATCCAACAATTGTTCCAGAAAGTGACGTTCTTTAGCTTTCATTCGGATTAATTCTTCAGACATGTTTGGTGGATCTGGTATACCAGCCTAGGAAAGTATTTTTAAAGCAGTAATGTAGAGGCTACAGTACTTAATTCACAGAGAGTAAGAAAAAGTCATACTGGCTTAGACATTTTAAATGAACAGATGGCAAAGATCTGCAGTCTTCTCAGTTGTGTAAATCCAAACTCAGTGCCCCAAAGGACATACTGAAAAGCTTGATGGAATCACACAGAAGATGGGAAATCTTGGTTATGCCTGTAAGATTTTACAAAGATTGAGCTACTCTACCTCTAATCAGGGATTTTATCTGGCTGGCTAGAGAATTCTTTGACACCCATTTCTCTTAGCCAAATCTACTATTCCAAGTGAGATGGATTTTTCTCCCACAGATATTAGCAGAATTAGATCTAAAGTGATACTGGGAGCCATAGAATGAATTCAGGCAGTTGGAAACTCCTGGGAAAAAGAAAAACCTAAACTCCTCCAGATTTGCAGCAGCAGACACTGGCTTCCTATGTACTTTCCCTACCAGGCCATACACCCATCTGTTGTGGATGGGTATATGGACAGCAAATATGCCCAGACATTCTTGCTTGCTAATAACATACTGTAGCAAAAGAGATGGTAATATTCTCCCATCATCACATCTGTCATCTCAGTTTTCTGGGCCACCTCCATCTTTAGTTAGTTTTACTTCAAAACCCAAGTTACTGATCACTTGGGGAGCACTCCTGGCCGAGAAGAAAAACTTACCGTTCCACCGTGTACGTGATTAATAAGGAAGGTGGAAAACTAACCCAGATTTCAGATGTTAGAAGGGCTCCAACAAGGTATTTAAGATGCACAAACACATGGGCAACAACTGCTCTTCCCACCCTCTCTTTGAAAATAACATGTCTGAAGTGTGAATACCATGCCAGTTAATTTTGTTCAAGGATACTGTCAACTTGCAGTATGATGCTTATCAATAAAACAGGACAAATTAAGCTGAACCATTTATCTTGCAATCCTTCTCTCAGTCATATTTTCACCTTTATGGTTGAATGAATAATGAAATTGAGAATAAAGGTACAGGAAACTGAGCAAACTAAGTTCTCCCAACTCATTTAACTGCTATTGTTTCCAATTCCTCACAGTGAGAAACCAACACAAAGATACAGATTAGGAACTCAAATCTTATTCAGACCTCTATCACTTTTACTTATCCAGGAGCTGAATTCAGGTCATGCATTTTAAGCAGTATATAAAACGCCAGCAATAAACACAGAAGACTAGACTCTTTGTTTTGTTACAGAACTAAAAGTCATGCTTCAAGGACACAAAATTGAGTGAGTCTCTTTTTTACTTTTTTCTTTTTATACCACCACTATAACTACAGAAAGCTGTAAGAGTTTGTCTTACAAAATATCTGCAAGGCTACCCTAAAAAGTCTTCCCATTTAAGAAAGTAGAACTGTATCCCTAAAATACCACTCTGGTTTTTTTTGGTTTTGTTTTTTTTTTTTTACACAAAGCATTCATGAAAGTTTGACTATGAAAACTTAGTAATAAAGTTATTTCAACCTCACAAAAGGATGCCTTCAGAAAGTATTGTCTCATAACACATATATTTCCCCAGTCCCTATCAGTCCACCCCCTACTCTCCTACTCTTTCCACTGAGGTGACTCCAACCCCTCTACAGTTACCAAATTATATTCCTTGTTTGGCCTAGTATTTAAAATTGCTGTCATTCAAAAGACTGTTCCACAACAGTACTGGTATTTTCACTCATTATTAGCTTATTTCACTCACAGACTGCACATTAAATAAATTTCAATATCTAATACTGAACTTCCTTAACTGGAAAGTGAAGACTTAAGGGAGTTCTTGAGTGACTATGGAAAAGAAACATGAACTGATCATGCACACATATGCAACTAATAAAACAAGTATTCTACATTTCTAAGAGATGCTCACTAAATTCTATTAAAATAGCTTAAGAAAAACCCATATAACCTAAGTTATATGTATCCCATAAGTCTCTATCCAAACGCACATGAAGAGCACTGGTGTGAACAGCAGCATACCAGAAATTGATATCTACTTTGCTCACTTTTAACTTTTTTGACATTTCAGTGTAAGCATACAGAAATTAAGTGCTCCATTTAATGCAGATTGCTAGTTATCAGATTCTAAGGTTATTATACTAAATTTAAATTTGCAATAAGATACTGAACCCATTAAACCAACAATATTTTTTTTTTCCTCATTAGAAACATGCAAACAAATTCTGAACTGTCTTCTATTACCATCTGGTGGTGAAAATAAGTTACTTGGAAACCTTCTAGTCCCCAGAGTGGGACTTGACCATATACACAACACCAAGCATACATAGTGAGCACACATGTAACTCATGAGACTTTTGAGATAAAGCTAGCAAAAGCAGCATTACATAGAAGATGAGTATGTACACAGTTTCTTATAAAGAGAAATTTTACTTCAACATTTATTTAGAAAGTTACTAACAAAGGGTCCAATTTTACTTATTTTACATTATAAAGGACATCTTTAAATATCTGATACAGACTCAACATCTATAAAAAGCTACTTGCTCAGCAGTAGCCAGAGTAAGCCAGAAGCCTGGACTTTTTGGCTGGTGAAACAGTGGACAGAGGACAGTTCACATACTCAATCTACTTACAACTTCAGCTTACCTCAAGAGGCATTAGTCTAATTAGTGTTGCAAAGCACTGAGTAGCCATAAAACGCACACTATTTGTCTGATCACTCATTCTACCCAGAACTGGAACCACTAGAAGAACAATGTATGGAACAATACCAACATCCAGCTGCTCCATTACACCTGGATCAGTTATTAAGGAAATAAGTTTTCACCAGGATTGTCTGACATGAATATATACCTGGCAGATTTCCCACTCAACAGGTAAAAGTCATTAATACATTACATGAACAAGA